GTCTTAGACCCAAGCTCTTATTCAAAGAAGTCATCATCACATGTCATGTGTTGCTAACATACTTTAGCATCTCACACTACAGAAAGGTGACAGCTGAGGAAAGTCAAACGTCAGCAGCACTGCCCCTCGAGGGTCAAAGTTTGCTGCCCGGCAGCAGGAACATCTCCCTCTGGATACTGTGTTACGTCAGAGAGGAGAGATTACAAGTACATTTACTGAGTATATTTAAGTATGGCAGAAATCACAGTACAGTCATTGTCTTTAACTTGAACTGCTGATTCTGTTATCAAATGTTGAAGTTATAAAATCAGGATGTGTGTCCTGTCCTAGTTACGCTCAGCACCCCTCCCTGCTGAAACAATAAAATGTTAATGAATATCTTGAAGTGGAGTTGATCTCAATCACAGTGGCCTTTCTGCCCTACTGCCTCTGACTTCATTTAGTTTTATATACCGACATAGAAAATGAAGCCTAAGGCAAATCCACGAGTAAAGCACAGGCTGATTATTTGTGGCTCGAACAAAAATAAATAAAAAAATCCCGAGTGGTTGCTCCAGGCAGACACTTAAGGTCTGCTGATGTTATTCCAAGAAGAATGGTCGGGCGATCTCCATCATCCATACCTCACCCTGGAAAACACTGGCACTGGTTCCACAGGGATCACCATCCAACCTCAAACACAACAAACACGTCCAGCATGAAGTAAGAGAACATAGGCTGTACCAGTGGAATGATTCAGCTTATCATAAAGACACGCAGTAGGCCATGTGTGAATATGAGTGCAAACGGCGTGCTAGACCAGCGCCCTGTACAGGATGTGCCTCTGTGCCCTGTGACGGCTGGGACAGACTCCAGCACCCTGGGACCCTAAATGACAACAGCGGTTACAAAAAAAACACATGGATGGATGAAAAATGCCATATTTTACTGTTCATATTTTAAATACTGCACTGTTGCTACTGCTGGAGTAATGGATCTAAATGCAACTAACCAATGCATCCCGTAGGACATTATCTCTAAATACAAGTTGGTCTGGGAATGGAGGGGAACTTTACACAGAGGACGATACAGGTGAAAGCATTCGCCTAAATTGTATACAGCACCTTGGTCAACAGTTGTCGTTTTAAATGTGCTATATAAATAAATTTGACTTTGACTTTAAAGCAGGGGTGGGCAACTCCAGGCCTCGAGGGTCCTGCAGCTTTTAGATGTGTCCTTGATCCAACACAGCTGATTTAAATGGCTAAATCACCTCCTCAACATGTCTTGAAGTCCTGCAGAGGCTGGTAATGAACTCATCGTCTTATTCAGGTGTGCTGACCCAGGGTGAGATCCTGCAGGACACCGGCCCTCGAGGCCTGGAGTTCCCCACCCTTGCCCTAAGCTTTAACTACTTTTTTTAGACTTTGTGTTTGCAGGAGAGAATTCTGGAAACTATCATTACTGTCATACAGTTGTCCTTGGCCTTAATCACTAGATTACATTCATCCCTGCTTGAACTGAATATGAAAAAAAAAGTTCCTAAGATTTGCGAGAATGGGACTGATTGGTATGTGCATAAGGACAGACATAGTATACTACCTCAGGTCACAGCACGGAGCCATAAACTGTAGTTTTATTGAAGGACCAGCAGAGGCTTTAACACCAAAGAGGTTTCTCTTTGAAGCTTCTTCTGTGAAGCCTGAGTGAAAAGTGCTCAAAGATCTATTTCAAGCAAGCTATCATAATGTGTGCATGTGTTGCACACGCGTGTGAGTTTGTGCGTGCGCGTCTCCAAGTGTATGTGTCACGGCGCCCTTGGACACGGGCTTGTGGAATGTGTTGAGAGCAAGGGAAAACACTGGGTTGCCACAGCAACTAGCAAAGAGAAACAGATTGGTGGGTGGGTGGGGCGCAGTCAGAAGAGCAAGCAAAAGACCAGAAAAAGATAGGACGGGACAGGTTTGACATACGCGATCCCAGCACAGGATTAGAGGGGGAAGCTGAAAGAGTAAGAGGAGAGCTTAAAGGATACGGGTATGTAAAACGTTCACGTTCGCCCCTCGTCCTTTATTGATGTGGGTAGGATGTTGCTCTGGTTACTTTGTGGGGAAGTCAGATGGGGAGTATAAACACAGCTCATTCTGTTTCTTGTCCACTGTCACTTCTCCATTTTGCCTTGAAAAATCTATCTTCTGTCCTCTTTCCTGTTTTACGCCTCTTCTTCAACACTTTGCATTCATTTCAGAACCTGTTATAATCCTGCAACCCTTCTGTAACACACGTTACTTTAACCTGGTAAGTAGTGTAGCACAGAAATCTTGTTGTCGACTCTCACACCAAAAACATAAACTGCTCCATTCTTGCCTGGGAACACTTCGGTGTCTCCCAGAGGAGCTTTAGGTGCTGGAGGGCAGGAGAGAGGTTTGCCTGCCGTCCCCATGACCTGCATAAGTGGTAGAAAACGGACAGCTGGACGGCTGGCTGGGTGGACGGATTGACTCTGTACAAATAACAATGTAGCTGAGGCTGTTCACTTTACCTCGAAATAGAAACGCAATACTTTGATATATTATACCCTCCAACAGACACACACACGTTTGTATGGCTGACCTTGACTCCTCACACTACTGCGTTTCCAAAATGTCCTCATTTCAATAGTCTAACAAAGACAACTCACACACACACACAGCATATCCTGATCAATAGGTGTATTGTTATTTCAGCCTCTACATGGAGTATCAAAAGCAGCGTTGTGATTAAAAATACACCGTGCCTTTGGATAAGGTTAAGGTCACCTGCATGTGTTCTGACAGTTCAAATCTGTGCCGCTCACGCAGTGAGGAGGGGGACAGATATTCTGTCATCGTGACATCATCACCACGACTGTTATGGCGACGCATCATCAACAACTACACAGAACGCTAATGATGTACACTTACACCAGCAGCATTTATCTTCACTTTGAACTTTTATACAACATCAGGAACAAAGTGGGCGTGTCAGTGTTTCGTCTGAATCACACAAACACATCAGGATGCTTCATGTGCAGACAGAGGTCAAACAAAACGTTCCAGCAGAGAAGGTGAGGCTGAGTGAAAACGTGTTCGCTCCTACAGCAGTGCATTCAAAACCACGAGCTGATGTTCAGCATTTAACTGAAGGTGCCATACATGACTGCATTTCCTGCACTCTTTAGTGCCTGAGTCATATCCTGACAAGTCTAATGACCTGATTTATTAGAAATTTGGAACCTGAAACTGAGCTGAGTGTAAAGGAGCGGTTGATTAGCTTCATCCCGCTGCCCTGCGTTCAGATAGAACCGATGCTCTTCTGTGGATTAGATTCATAATCCTCAATTAGCAGGTTGTATACTGAACGTGTATACTTCAGGATTCAGAGGATTGAGAAGTGGGAAAGACTAAGGCTACGTTCACGCTGCAGGCGAAAGCGCATCAAATCCGACTTTTCTGACCCTCTGCGACCATCATGGTGTGACAGTGTGAACGGCACAAATCCGATATTTTCAAAGCCGATCTGGGTCACTTTGGTATGTGGTGCTGAATCTGATACATATCTGATGTTTCAGAAAGCGACTGCTGTTTGATGGTCACGTCGCATTAAATCACTGACACAAGACAGACGCCAATTATCAGCGCCGGAGAAGACATCGCGAACGCTTCCTGGCCATCCAGCGTAGATGTCAGTGAAACTGTTGGGAAGACAGTGTGAACATTTTATTTGTTCTGTATAATCTGCAGATTCTGACAGACATTTCCAACTATCCTCTGAAGCAGCAATAAGGATCAATATTAGGCCAAATGTAAATAATAAAATAACTTTATAACTTAAAGCAAAATTGGGAAAGTGACCCGGTGTGAGCCTTAGTGTGAAGGAATTTCGGCCCAAGCGTGACAGGGTCCGTTCACAGCCAATCCCGATAAACTGAAGACAGTTTATCAAATAAAAGATGCAAGCGAAACAAAGACATTAAAATATGAAATATATATAAAACAAGTGCTGATCATTTTCTGCTTTCCTCTCGATGCTTTCCAAAGCATCAAACGTTGCCATGACTTCAGAGGCCACTGGAGTTTGTGGTGAAGCAAATGATCCGTTTGTCCCTCAGGAGGCGGCGTTTGTTTGGAAGCTGGTGTTTTTCATTTCATGATGGTTTGTCTTCCCTCATTTTCACCGGGCATTTACTTTTCCTTCAGTGTCTCCTTGGTCACATTAGGATTGTTTGGTTAGGTCATTCAGTACGGTCTTTAAAGATCGTACCGTCTTTAAAGTGTTCCCTGAAAAATGATGCTTTCTGAGTGAATACTAATGTGATGCTAACTTGTCTTTGATGGCAGCGTCTAACGTTCTGGGAAAACGAACAAGCTGCGAATATTTTTTACATTAGACACAGCTGCAACCAGTCAAGAGTGAAATGTGTAGGGAAGGTCTGTGTCGGTTTGACACTGGCTCGCTGATTATGCGTCCTCCACGTTGCTGAACTGCCGCACCTGAATTTGCTTAGACCAGCTATCAGCATTCAGCACAGGCAGTCTTACATCTGCGCTATATTTAAGTGCTATCCTCCACAACTTTATACGGAGAGATTTTTGTCTTCACAAAGGTCAAATCGAGGAGCTGAAGCTGGTAGAGATCGTTGTCCTGCCACATATACTTTAACAGGTCTGATACAAGAGCTGGACTCCTGGTGCTTTTGTCTTGCAAGGCCCACGCCGGCCTCTCCCTGCTCTATCCCAGTTATGTGGTCCATCCCGTGGCTACGTGCGTCAGTCGTAGGCTGGGAATTTGGTGCACGAGCTAAGTGCTTAATGATGAGCCTTATTTAGTTCACAGAAATGAGAATACAAAACAATCACAAAACATTTCCCTCGTTTATGGTGCTCTGTCATCACACTCTACAATGTTGGTGACAGTATTTGGAAAATGAGTCATTTATGTGTCGTACGTTCTGCTGGGCATGCTTGGGAAACGTGTATGCACGCTTGAGGACGGGAGCTGACCTTGCGCTCTTTGTCTCCGTACTCCAGGCCCAGCGTGTCCATGGCGCGGACGATGGCGGCCAAAGATTGGATGGTGTTGCTGTAAACAACGGGCTTGTACTGCTTTACGTCATCGCCGGAGAAACCGTCCTCGTGGATGATCCTAGAAACAAAGAGACGCACGGGCATTAAAGAATGTTAAATACTTGGGCTCTGCTCATTATACAGGCAAACAAAGTGAACAGCAAAGTTATGTGCAGGCACAGGTTTGCTTCTCAACCTGATAAAAAAGTGGATTAAAAGCACACGGCAAAGGTGTTTTACACGTTTGTGGGATACAAAAGAGGAAAAGGAGGAAAATGGAGATAAGCACAGGTGGAGCCTGGACCGGAGAGGAGGGAGGGAGCGGGCCCATAACTGTAGCCTAACCTGACATTTAAGGCTGCTGTTTGAAATGCCACAATGTCTTTCACTGCACCTAACGCAAGGGCACAGCGACAGACGGTCGCAGGGACAGTTAGCGAGGTAGACGCCTGCTCGTATGGACAAATGAGACAAAGACCAACAGAGAGACGGACAGCCACGAACAACAGGTTGATTCAAACAGACAGATACAGGTTGAGGCAACAGTGTGAGGCAATTCTGATAGACAACATCACCATGCATAAATAAACCCGAACGAACGGGCCTCCAGCACAACTCAGGATCCAACACGGCTGCAAACATTTGTGCGTGTATTACAGGCCTGTGTCTATCCCACTGTTCTTACTTTACAACCAAGTAATCCAAATTGAAAAGAAATCTAGTAAAGAAAGTGCAAAGAGCTCGCTAAAGTCAGAGAGACACGTGTAGGAACTAGTGATGTGCGGATCGATCCTGAAATATCGATTCCTCCGATACCAATCATCTATGTTCTAGAATCGATTCTCACATTAAAATATCGATATTTTAGTAATTTAGGGTAAATTTGTAGTTTATCATTAACATGAACACAGTGGAAAGAAACTATAACATTCGGATTGTCTACATTCAAAGGAACTACTTCCTCTTCCGCCTTAGGGTTCTTTAGTCCTTCGCGGTCTAAAGAAAGCCGGGTAGTGAAACTCTGTCGTCTGCTCCTTGCTATCTAAAATATAACCGGGCGCTGGCGTAAACTCTCGACCGTCTCACACTTCTGTTTAATCATTTTCTGTTTGACGTTTATTCAGCTGTGTAAAACCCCGGAGTAACCCTCCCGAGGGATTAAAAAAGTTAAATTAAATTTAATCTAATCACTTTAATCTCAGCCAAACCGATTTACTCACGAACAAATAAAACACCGAAGAAGCCAAACACGAACATTTTTAAGTTATCAAAGTGACTTAAATATCATGTTTAACCCGAGTAGTGAAAGACCGCGGGGGTTTGAAGACGATGTGTCGGCTCAGATATTTGAAGTTCACACAGCTACATTCTCACCTGAAAATATGTTAAAAGTTTTTTTGCGACCCAGAAAGAGAAATAAGAGCAATATTAAAACTAAGTAGCTGCCGTCATTGTTGGAAACTGGAGTTGGCTGGGCCGCACTTTTGTTGTCCGGGGAGAAATTCGGGAGAAATTCGGGAGAATGGTGGCTCCGGGAGATTTTCGGGAGGGGCACTGAAAATCAGGATTCTCCCAGAAAAATCAAGAGGGTTGGCATGTATGGTTGTGGCAACATCACTAACCTTGTCACCTCAGAGTAAATCATATCACAGAATATGACGAACGTATGTTGAGGCGAACTGAAGAGGAGGAGAGGGACAGGTGCTGCTAGGGCGAGACAGACGTCTCTCACAGGCAGGCAAGGTAGTCAAATAGCACAACTTCAGTTTTTTCATTTCTATATGATGAACTCTGCATTATTAAGTGATAAGAACAAGTAATCTGATGTCCTGTAATCATTATGACGCTATAATTTAAGATACAACAAATAAAATACGTTTTTGTACAAAGTATCGGATCAGTATCGTCGATACCACCCTGAATATTACTTGGTATCGGATCGGAAAGGAAATCAGTGGTATCGCACATCACTAGTAGGAACTAAGAACAAATATAAGCGCTGTCAGCAGCCCCGCAGTGAACGTTCAGAGAAACTGTTCAGAGAAACTGTTCACAACTTGTTCTTTAGCATCGTGTCAAGCTGGACAGCAATACGCAGCATCAGTCATGAGCCGGTGAGATAAAGTATTATGTACTCACACTACATCAATTATCTGCAGTCAGCTGAGACTGAACAAGTCACCTGGATGAGTGACGAAACGTTTCTCCCACAAAACGCTACGTCCAGATGAACAGATTCAACTTTTGGAGAACAACATCAATTACACTGAAAGGTGCTTGACTGATGAATCAAAATAATCCTCACTTATATCAGGTCTGAAGTGAGCTCTTTGCTCCTCGTTCAACCCGCTTTCTTCTGATTGGCTGCTCTTTTCAAACAGAAGGTTTGAACAGCAGGTGGGTGGGTTGCTGTACGCCTAAGATTACCATATAAGGTGATATCCACCCTCACTAAAATCATACAGAGCCAAGAGCAGACGGAGTGCTGAGAGTCCAAATCCTGAAGTTCTGTTCCTGACGGGGATTACTCGCACATACGCCGACCTCATTACAAGTTTAATATGAACATCCATCGTTATGACGTAAAGTACATGAAAGGAAATAAGGAAAAGCTTCGGTTTCTTTATAACAACCTGACCACAGAGTTCGTGGTCAGTTTAAAAAGGCCTCTGCTCTGCGTGGTCTGGTTTGGTGTGCTTCTTGACATATGGCAGATGTGTGGTACGATACATCTGTTTACTGTTTCTGTGAGTGTCCAACGGTATTGACTTTGTGTGTGTGTTTGTGGTCTCGGTCAGTGTAATATTTCAGATCAATCAGGCAGTGTGCCAGTCCTATATAAATATACCACACTTCTATTTACATCAGTGCCTTTCACACAGAGGGCCAAAGCCTGGAGCTGCAGACAGGAACCAGGACAGATCTTTGCGTCCCCGCTAAAAGATGCCAAAAAGACATTTTCCGAAATTCCACCTTTCCTACCACCAGAGAGGAGAAACTCATAATGGGAAGAGGAAACGATGCCAATAGAGAGGTTGATGTCAGAAATAACCTAACAAACAGAACTGGGGACTCTGTGTTTATACGACAGGAAGCTAAAGTTATGACAAAGAGCCTCTTCTGCAGGGGCGCTCGGCCAGCTTTGCACTGTGAGAATGTGCTTCCATGTAAACCTGACTGTGAGGTGAAACACATCGCTGACAGGCTTAAGAACTCGGAATAAAGTTTTTTAAACCAAACCAAAAGTTGAGCCTTTCATCAGGAACAGAAGTGGCCGTGGGAGGGCGCCGACACTCAGCAGGCCCGTGTTGTCCCTACGTTATGTCCCGTGGCGCTTCTAACACACAGCATTAAGGTTGTTAAGCTAACTGGACACAGACAGCTAAAACAATCCTCTGACACGTAAAGGCAGGTGGTTCTTTCCTCAGCTGGATATCGTGATGCTACCCGTTGTTTAGCATGGCGAGGTGTGCTCCGTCTAGCTCTGTCTCAACTATTTTGTTCTTAAATGGTAATCGATTTACATTTTGTGGATGTTGCTGAGCTTTTACGTGATTCCCTAACTGGAAAACAATTCGAGGAGGAGGGTTGATGGAAGAAGAAAGCGCTCTAGAAAGTTTTACTGGCATCTTTGCTAACTCGGGAAGAGAGAGGAAGACACCGAAGGTCACAGCTGGGGAGAGCAGGGTCGAGCAAAGACTTAAAATTAGTGTTATGAATGTTATCAGAAGTGTAACTGACATGTTTTCCCATCTCTGTACATGTGTGTGTGTCTGTGTGTGTGTGTGTGTGCGAGCGGCTGGCTAGCTTGCTGACGTGAGCTTTCATGCATGAGGACCTTTTCTCATTACCCACTCTCCAAGCCCTTCTGTCAGCAAAGCCAAGGGACTGTGTGTGTGTGTTTCTGTGTTGGTGTGTGTATGTGTACAATTTCATGTAGCCTTGGCACAATCTGCACGGTGACCTGAAACATAGTTTAGTTTCACACCGAGTCAGACAGATGGACAGAGAGACAGACATATGGGCAATTTAACCACAACGCTGTTCCATGACATCATCCTGTGGCTGCCATTTTGGGGCCAATCAGCAGATGTTATATAGCAGTCACAGGATGGTGTCTGCCTATAGCGCACTTTTAAATTCGTGAAACGCCCAAACTGGTTACATCGACTCCAGCGTGGCCGTTCTTTGCTGATGATCACTGATCAACAGGCGCTAAAAAGTCGTGTTTCTGGGAGTTTGAAGGCTCCGTTGACAAGATGACCTGAAGTTTAAAGCTAACCGGCTAAAGTTACGAAACCCACAGAAAGAAAAACTGTTGATGCGCACACATGATACCAAACACAACGCGCCTGCCTCGTTAATGCCTCGTATTTTTATCCTCACACCTACTCATGTGAACACTCACAGAACACAAAGCCTACACAGCACACTATGCAATTAGGTCGTTATCTCAGCCCTGCACTGTTGCTAGCTAACACTGTTTGCTCTGACACACACACACTCGCACAAAGCCCTGTGATTGGCTCTTTTGCACTATGCCGTCCATCCACTCCCTTTCCGTTCTTCGTCGACAGAGCTCTTGGTAGTGACAAAGTGCACACTGACCAACTCCTGTCAGCGCTGCCTCAGACTCGGATGCACAGCGTGTGTGTGTGTGTTTTCTGAGAACATTACAGCAAGTGCAAAGAGTGAAGGAGAAAGAGGAGGAGATAAAAATGTGTGTGATAAAGAAGCTATAAATAACTGAAGGTGTCAGTAACGTTGCCCCTCCACCCTCCCATCACACACACACAGACAGTGAAATGGAGGCATCAGCTGCTCCGTTATTCGGCTCCACTCACTTGTCATCACACCTTGAGGTCAAGCAGCAGCATCCTGAGCACACAGATTCTCACAGACACATCCCGATGCCCTCAGCTCTGTCTCTGCTTTTCTTCAAAACACACATAAGCCGGTATTTAAGCCGTGCTGGAGGCGAAGCTCCGGGGATGGCTGGTCTAACGCTTTGATCCAAACTAGTTACTGGATGGATTGCTGTGAAGAGTTTATGTGCATATCAATAGAGTCCGGGCATTG